CAGGCTTGCAGCAGCAAGTCCATAAATTGCACCAGAAAGTGCAGGGTGAGCTCTGGCTCCATGTTGCCACCTGCGGCGGTGTCCCTGAAGGGAAGCACCGACACAGACGGGCACAGAGACCAACGCTTTGCTGTCCCTTGGTGAGGTTGGCAAGCAAGCAGGACAAGCTGAGAACCGGCTGTCCGGGGGGGGGGGGCCCTTTAAACACAGTCGTGTGTCCGGGGTGGGGGTCGGGACCCTTTAAGCACAGCCCTCGGCTAGCCTGAGACACCATCTCCATGCTCTAAGTCCTCCTCTTATGCCCTGCCGGCACTGCTTCCGGCCCTCCTTAAGCCCTGTTCAGAGTCCACTCAATGTGGACTTGCTAGTTCGAATTAGCAAAACGCTAATTCGAACTAGTTTTTAGTTCTAGACGCGTTAGTTCGAATTAGCTTAGTTCGAATTAACTAATTCGAACTAAGTTAGTTCGAATTAGCGCTGTAATGTAGACGTACCCTGAGATGTAGCCAACTCTCCAATGAAGAAATCAAAGGCTTTTTGAAGCTTCATCAAGTGATTTCAAACACTATGACAATTATTGAGTATGAGTAGGAGCTTGAAGAAGCAAGATCTCACAAGGGTCTTGAATCTGCGGAGTAGCTTAACTAATGTGCCACAAAATGCCTAGCCAGTTAATGCAAATATGAAAAGATATGGGAGGAGAAATACATTCCCCGGCAGAAAAGTTATTGAACAGCTAGATCCAGTATCAGAGGTGGTAGCTGTGTTAGTGTGTAACTATATATATATGAGCTTCCAAGTTAGAGATCAACTGGGAGAGATTTGATCTGGCTTTTTCCTTGCAATTAAATCAAGGTTTATAGGACTAGAATAAAATACTGCAGAGCAAATGAGTTTATTATTGGTGACAGCAGCCTACAGCATCCATTCCATGACTACTGTAATGTGACCCAAGCAGTGTATACTTGTAGGGATACTGTAATTGGCTAACCACATGCTGTGTGGGGAATATGACATTTATGGTTTATAGCTTCAAAAACATGTGCTCAGGCTGCAGATGGTGTAAAGTCAGGTTTTGCAACTTGGGGGAGCAATGGGTTACTGGGACTGGAATGGAAAATGAGCCCTTCACCACAGTCTCCCATGAGTAAAGGCTTCTGTTCTGGGGGAACAGGAGGCTTGGCCTAGCTTCCCATGCAGATCATTATGACCTGGCCAGCTTTCCATCATGGTAGAAGGAAGGCCAGGCCAAATGTCAGCAAGTGGCATTGTGACATAGTGCACAGGGTCCCGAGGCACCACATTGTAATGATCAGAGTGGGAGTCAGGCTGGGAGTGAGACCAGGAACTGTACCTGAGAGCAGGGCAAGTTCGTTCTCCAGCCCAGCCTGAACATTTATGTTGTGCACATCTTTTTGGAAAATGCATAGTCAGTTTGCAAAGTTACCACATGTGCACATAAGAGCTGCCTTCCGGGTAGCCTAGAGGTAGTTTTCCAGCCTCATTATTAGCTCTACCACTGCCCAGCACTGCAGCTCTCTGCTTTTCACTATGGTAGGCATGGTGTCACAAGGCAACAGGAAAGAATCCAGCAACATAGTCAAATGTAGTGATAAGTGGGGCCACTTGACATTACTTAAAATGATCAAATATTTCTGTTGCACAGCAAATCACGCTAGACAATTTATGATCCAACCAGAAAGGCTTGGGTCCCTCTTTGGAAGTTCTTGGCCTATTTAACAGTAAAATGAATTATCTAGATCTGCCCAAACTCCCCTCTCTAGGGCTCTTTCAAACAAGCTATTAGCTTAACATAAAACACCAGCAAATCAC